CGACATTACCACGGTGCACACACTTTCCCTTATTTTCCAGATGCATCAGCAGCGACAGACATAGTTTCTCACATCCGCTTCCTAGGTTGCTAATGCGCCTGTCGGTACCCAGGTTGTGCGTTCAATATCAAATCGTTCCACTGCACTTGTCTAGTTCTACCAGCACACAAACCCTATCTAGTCTCGAGCTACGACGGTTTCTTCTACTTAGACCACTGTCATCCATTCGGTGCAGGATCGGCGAGCAGCAACACCGGCCAGATATGCAACGCGCTCGTCGACATTTGGCAGGTGCAGCTGGGCTCGGACGGGCGTCCTGTCAAGTACGAGGACGACCTCAGCTTGCTACGCTACCTTAATGACACGGGGCCTGTCACATCGGACCATCACCTATTCCGCTTCGACCGCGTGTCAGTCGCAGCCCTCATTGACTCCCTGTGCACGTCCTGGCACCCCGGGAAGACCGGCGATGAGTTTTTGGACTCGACGGTCTTTCTGGGCATGCTCTGGGATTTCGTCCTCAGGTGTGTATCACTACCGGACGAAAAGCGGCACAAGCATCTCGTGCGCATCTGCAACATGATCCTGGGCAGCAATTCGGGTCGGGGTTTCTACCTGCTCAACTTGCAAGAGATCCACGGCGCGCTGTGTCACCTGCGTTTCGTCTACTCCGATGGCACATCCCGCCTCGCTGTCTTCTCCAACGAGATTGCGCATTTCCGCGGTAACTCCTACATGACGCGCAAACTCAATGACACCATTAACTCGATGTTGTCCTGGTGGTGCGTGCATTTGGAGGACCCAACGGCGTACAGGCAGCTTCAGCCGCTCGGCCCGGTATGCGATCTGCGGATATTTGTGGATGCCAGCACATCCTGGGGCATCGGCGAGAGCTGGTGGTCGATCCCATTGATGCGGAACTGGAAGCGCCCCGGCTTGCTGGTTGGAGGCGGTGGCTATCAAGCTACTTCTCTATTTTTTGGTGCAGTTGGGGTATCGGGATGTTCACCTTCTCATCCACTCTGACAACAAAGGGGCAATTGGTGCTCACACGAAGAGACACAGCCCCAACGGTCGTATTAATCTGTGCACCAAGGGGGTCTGAATCTTAAATTTTTTCAAACCACGTCGATTTAGGGGGTTTAGCCCACCACAAATCCGAAAATCTTCGTTTCAAGGTGCCAGGTTGAATATTCATTGAGATAGAGGGGGGTACATTATTACTGCATTGGGCGAAATTTAGTGTACTGCCACTGTACAGCCCCTCCCAAAAAGGGAATTTTTGACGTGCATCAAATTTGGGAGAAACTTGTTCGTCTCCTAGAAAATGGCCTGGGAGCGGAAAAAAATGATACAAAGCGCCAAAACACTCTCATTCATGCCCTGAAACGGCCCGCAAAATATGGGGGGGTAGCACCCACTATTGGGCGAGATTTGGGGGGGGGGGGGGGGGGTCCCTAGGACCCCCTGAAAAAAAAATATGTAGGTGATATGTTTTTTTCGCATTTTTGGGCCCCCTTGCTGTGCACACGATAGACGTTTGCTGTGTCATCAGGTCACATGATTACGCCACGCCTCGTCTACGTTCCGTCAGCACAAAACATCGCCAATGTGCCTTCCCACGGTGTCCCCTCCCCCCAACTCCTTCCTCAGAACCGTCTCAAACACGCCTTCGAACTTCCCGCAGAACTCAGAGGCGTCTTGGCAGATGACACGGAGCACTAGCCGCCACGTCAGCGCGGCACCTTTCTTGGAAACACATATAGCGTTGCCTCCTCTACCTTTCCACATACCTACATTACCTCTACCTACAGTACCTTACATTTCTTTCTAATTTTTTAGTAGTACAGACAGTGTCCTGTCTTATCATGTCCCACACATCAGCAGTCCCATCACACCGAGTTCCCAATTCGTGATTTTGGTCCGGCTCTGCAACAGTTCAGTGTGCAAGGTGCGTGCGCGTGGATGGCGCTCGTTTTTCAGGTCTGATGGGTGGACAGTCTTTCGCAGCGTTCCACATCACATATAGCCCTGAATCTTGCATGTGAGGCGCCCAGCGCTTCCTCCCACCACACACCACATGTTTCCCCCCTCGCGCCCCGCCCATGGCTTTCCGACGTGGCGTCGTCCCTGGCAGAGCTAAGAAAGCGGCGACGTGCCACCTCTGCAGCAGCCCAGACAGCACCACCAGCACGTCGCATCACCTTGGCGGACACCTCTAACTGCCCCGTCCCGCTACCTGTGCCACTCCTCGGCGACACCCGGATCTCCTCGTCCTTGTGCAGCACAGACCCACAGGCGGCGGTGCGCAATGTGCGCATCACCGCGGTCGCGTCCCTCCCGCAGAAGCGTGCCCAGAAGCCCACCACAGGTAACGAGCTCCGGCCCAGTACCTACTGGCCGCACGTCCCTGCCAACTGTAGGCTGCTCCTGTGGACGGCCCCCTGCTCCGTCGCCCCCCACACCGCCATGCAAAACCAGGGAATCTTGCTCGCCTTGCAGCGGTGGATTTTCGAGGGGATGCTCGGCACGCATGTCAATGAGACCCGCAAGTCGTACGGAGCGGGGCTCTTGCGCTTTCATCAGTTTTGTGATCGTGAGGGATTCAGGGAGGATGCTTGTATGCCCGCCGACAACTGCCTGCTTGCCGCCTTCGTCGCAGACGCCATTGGGTCTTGCACAGGAAAGTGCATCCGGAACTGGCTTAACGGCTTGCACCTGTGGCACCTCTACAATGACGTGCCATGGCACGGTAACGGCAGTTGGATGGTCCCATTGAAGAAGGCCACCGACAAAGGTGGTGTCTCCTTCAAGCGTCCGCCGCACAGTCCCATCACCTTCGCGCACCGTCGTGCCATCTGGGGCAGCTCACTGGGCAGCGGCGCTTGCCACCTTTTGGGGGTGCCATCGTCTGGGCGAGATGTTGCCGCATAGTGTCGCCAAGTTCACCACAATGCGCGACACCTGCCGCAGCGCCCGCGTTTCCAGATCCCGCGTCAACGGGCGCTCCGTCCTCAGCATCCACCTCAGCTGGACGAAGACAATGGGCATCACCAGAGGCAAGTGTCTTCTCACCGAAGTGCTGGGGCCGGACTCAGAGCTCGATCCCGTTCGCGCATGGGATGCGCACATTCACATCAACCACTCCCCGCCTCCCAACACTCCCCTCTTCGCTTTCCGTTCGCAGTCTGGCTGGCGCCACCTACTCAAGTCACCTTTCCTAGATTTCTCAGCATCAGTTTATCTGGCCACTCGTTTGGAGCTGGTTTTTGGCCACTCGTACCGCATCGGCAGGTCGCTGGAGCTGCTCTCCGCAGGCGTTGTGCCGGAGGTCATCATGAAGCTCGGCGGCTGGTCGTCACTATGTTTTCTTATTTATTGGCGCAGATTGGAGAAGATTCTCGCTCTGGCCATCACTCGTGCTTGGGACGCGCGCATTCGAGACTTCGTAGTAGCACATGGGCATCAGCATAACGTAGAATCACTTGTTCTTGACGAGTAATCACGCAGCGATACATATTTTGGAATTGATGATCTTCAGATGATAGCTCAGCTCTGTGTGGGGGACCTCAGGTCCGCTTCTCTCGCCCTCGTGCAAGCGTTGCTCTTGGAGCTTTGCTCTTGGTGGGTTGCTATGGGTCTCATTTTGCTTTCTTTTGACCCAAGGCCGCCCTCTGTGTACTGGCTTGGCAGTGTCCGTCAGCCGCCATTTCCCGCCTCGGAAAGCCCCGCATCACAAGGTCACGTGATGCCCTTATGTCCCCGAGTCGGGCGGCCACGGCCAAGCCCCCCACACACACACACACACGCAGCTTTACATCATCGCAGCATCAGCGCGAATATTACAGATACATATTATCTACTCTAATATTCGCGCCCTCCTTCACTTTACAGATCCGACACACTAATTGACTCCTGCCTTGCTTACTTGGTATATGAAGCTGATGTGCACCATACACCACATCCGAGTTATTCTTCATTGTTGGAACCTTGCCAGGAGAATGGATTTGGTGGTCAAAAAAAGGAAAAGGGTGAGGGAAGGGTTGATTCGGATGCGGGGAGTCGAACCCCGGCCTTCAGCTTATATGACCTTTCGTGGGATATATGAAGCTGGTGTGCACCATACACCACATCCGAGGTATTTCTATTCCGTTGAGGCTGGGTAAGTAAGTAACCTTCAATGTTGAATAATTCCAATGCAACCTAAGTTCATTCCAGCGAAATTTGTAAAGCAAGTCCGGATATAGGACCTCTAGGGAGTCAAGATTTTGATTGTGACTTTATGAGGTAGAAAAGAAAAAGAAAAAGAAAAAGAAAAAAGGGGACTCGGGCGAATTCGGATGCGGGGAGTCGAACCCCGGCCTTCGACTTTCTTTTACGCTCCCTTGCAATATATTGAGTTGATGTGCACCGTGCACCACATCCGAATTATTCGAAATATGTGAGGGGAGAGGTCTAGGCTTTGTGGAAGAGGAATAAATAAAAAAGATTTGGGGATTCTGGATATTCGAATGCGGGGAGTCGAACCCCGGCTTTCGTCTTTAGTACTTTGACATTCCCCTATATTGAGCCGATGTGCACCGTACACCACATTCGAGGTATTCTGCACCATTTGAACTCGGCTAGGTAGAAGATATTGTGAAGCCCAACAAAAAATTGGAGGCTGCGAAGTCGGATTCAGGGAGTCGAACCCTGGCTTTCAGCGTGCAAGACTGATTCAGACCGATCATATGCCATATTAAGCCGATGTACACCGTACACCACATCCGAGTTTTCTTTATCGTTGGAACCTTGCAAGGAGAGAGCAATTTTTTGTGGAAAAAAATAAAAGACAAGGAAGAGCGTGTCATTTGGATGCGGGGAGTCGAGCCCCTTATAGTTTTACTTCAGGACCTGTATTAAGCCGATGCACACCACCCGAGTTATTCTTCAGCGTTGGAGCCGTGCTAGGGAGCGGATTTTGTCGTCCAAAAAAAAAAAGAAACTTGCAGGACAAACAGCTCGGATGCAGGGAGTCGAACCCTGGCTTTCAGCTTGCATGTCAGATGCATTATTGTGTATACACAGCTGATGTGCACCGTACACCACATCCGAATTGTTGGATATCATATGGAGTGGGATATGAGTGAGCTGAGCGGGGTCCCGGGATCTGGAGTTGATCTGGAGGCACGCGTGCATTTTTTCGGTAGGAAATTGTTGGTTTATTTGCCCAAAAGTGTGCGCGGCGGGAAGACTACTCTAAAATTTAGCGTGTAAGGATGACTCGGAACAGACATGTACAAGAGGTGACAGGAACGTCGAGTCAGAGGCGATTGTGATCGACTCGGATGCTAGCGAGGAGGACGAAGACTTGAATTTGTGGAGCGGAGCGAAGAGTACTAACTCGAGAATAGCACTGAACCGAGTACGAACGCAAACCTGCAGTACAAGACCCCCGCCTCCTCGCCCGAACTCGCCATCACCCCCTGACGACGTTTGACCGACAGCGCTCCTTGGCGTGTGTCATGTGCAACAACCATCACGTCGGAGTTTGAACTCCTTCCTTTTCTCTCCCCCTCGTTGTTGTCGTCGTCGCCGCCGACGGCCGCCCCTCCACACTCGTTCTCCCTCCCTCTCTTTACACACACATACACACATGGGCTTCGAGGGCATCAAGATCAAGGTCGGGCACGCTGGCGCCAAGTTTGGCAAGCACCTGCGTCGTGCGCCTGCCGTCGCTGATGCCAGTATGTGTCTCTTTTCTCTTTATGTTACACTGCTAAGGGTTATCCAGGCTGCGCTACCGGCAACTTCTACACCGAGCCCGCCCCAGGCAGCTCTCACGACGCCCTGCAACCCATCAAGGTCTCCTGGAAGCCCGAGCTCAACTGCCTCCCGGACTCTCCCGCCCGCGTCGACATCCTGCTCACCGCACCCGGCCTCGACCAGACGTTGATGCAGAAGTGGGCCAACGTGCCGTATGCCGACGGGTCCTTTACCATGGACGTACTCCCGCGCTGGTGGGGCGCCACGCCCAGCATGCAGCTGGCGGTCCAGGTCATCCCCGCCGGCTCCATCCCCGCCATACAGGCCATCCCTGCCGGCCCGTTCATCATCGCGACCTACGCCGAGCCCGCGACCGGCAAGCCCGCCGCTGTCGACGTCTCGCTCAACACCGACAACAAGACCACCAAGGTCACGTCCCCCTTGGGTGCCGTCTCGCAGCACCACCTCTCCAAGGGCCGCACCGCCGCCGCCGTCCTGCTGCCTTTGTTCTTCGTCGGCCTGGCGTTCCTGGCGTACATGAAGTGGAGCCGCGGACGCACGCAAAAGAAGAAGGCCGCGTGGAGCGAGAAGCTCGACAAGCGCATGAGCACCATCAGCGCGGACTGGAAGAGCATCACCGGCGCGGGCGCAAAGGAGGTCGTACGGCACTCCATCGCCGCCAAGGACGGATCGGCATTCGCGTTCGGCGCTATCCGCCCGAGCATCGACGAGATGACGGAGAAGGAGGCGCAGCCGCGCACGTCGCTCGGCTCTGGTGTCGGCGTCGGCGTGGGTGCGCGCAGGCCCAAGGTCCATGCGAATGGCACACCCGATCGCGCATCCCGCGCCATCTCCTTTGCGGACACCGCGCACCCGAGGCCCTCCGTCTCCAGCACGACATACTCGCGCGGGTCCCGTGCCTTCCACACCGCCAGTACATACGCGGACGAGGACTGGAACGACGCACCGCCTGTGCCTGCGCTGCCGAGCCCCTCCCAGAATGGGGCATATGGCGCCTCTCCTACGACGGCTATCAGCCCCTTTAACAACAACACGACTTACACCACCGCTCCGACGCGCGTGAGCCGCTCCTCATCGTACTCCGGTAACAGGGTCAGCGGAGGTGTGCTCGACAACGCGGCGCTCATCACGGCGAGCGTTGGCGGGAACGGGGGCGCGTGGATCAGCGGGACAAGGGTGGAGGGCGTGGATGGCGGGTATGCGAATATGAGTGTGAGCCCGACGGGGAGGAGTGGTGTTTCTATTTCTATTTCTAGTACATGCATGTCGTATATAGTGATGAATATATTCTATTGTCCCAAACGAACTACCTACTGCCCCCCGAAGGAGATCCCGAGCATAAATAGCCCCAGTCATGCCGCAGCCCAGCCCTGAACAGCTCCAAAGCTTGAAAAAAGAAAGAGAGTCACGATGTTTTGAAGGGTTTTGGGGCGAATGCGCGGCGTTAGTAGCAGAAATCCAAAAAATGTGTTCGGCATGTCAGAAAAGACTGGGAACTGTTAGAAACCCTTGGAACTCGAAGGTCCGAGGCTTCCCTCTCCAAAAACGCGTTGGAAGTGTAGAATCTTGCTCAAAATCACTAAAAACCGCGTTAGATTCGATAAAAACCTGGACCCGTTGGGGAGTAAATACAACGTGTTCTTTGGGTCCAATATGCGTTAAACCGCGTTAGAAACGTTTGGAATAAGGCTTACCGTAGAAATACAGATTAGATTCAATAGAAACATGCGTTAGATTCGTTATAAACCAGTAAAACAGTTACAATCTTACTAAAAACCGCGTTGGATTCAATAAAAACCTTGAAAAAAGTCCCTACCTGCTTCAACGAGTCTTGACGTGATAGGTTTGGTCCATTAGCGACTAAAAACACATTAGAATGGTACAAAAATGAATAGAAAAAAAAAGGCTTAGCGTGGAATGCGCGTTGGATTCGTTGAAATGTTAGAAAACCCAGAAAACACGCTCATCTACGTCAAAACTACTATATCCCGCTGGGAAGTGGGCCACTTAAGAGTAATCAGTGAATAGTGACATGCTCATACCTTAAAAATGGGGGTTTGTGTGCCTATAATCGGGGATAGGCCTGTTATGGACCTGTGAAGCATTTCTAGCCGATTTTTGGTGGGGTGGTGTGGGCTTCAGTACTTTATTTTCGGCGGCAGTCCAAAAGGGGTAAATATCAGGAAGCGGACCAGGCGGCCAAATTATGTATTTCTGTATGGATAACTATGGAAACCCGGAGCACCACGCTCGTTTGATTGACATCGCTTGCCGTATCGGGCAGTCGGACTGATGGGACCCATTCTGCGGACGGCGCGACTCGCTTCAGCCACACTAAGGACATAAGCGCTTGTGACGTCTTCGTAGATATTCATATTCGGTGATACTAAACACTATTGTGGCTCCCCTATTGTGATAAATCAACACGTGGTAAAGGCTAGTGTTCTTCTGATACTCCTGTGATCACTGGTTCAACCTCCACAATACCAGCGGCAACCAATGGCTTGTCCTTGTATTTAATCAGGGTGTGACAACTTTTTTTAAATCTGCTTGCATAGAGAAATGAGAGATGCACATTTGATTTTGAATTGGGTCCAACAGCCAAGTCCTGGAACTCAACGGCGGTCGGTCAGCCTCTTATGTTAAGCAGCACTATTGTCATATATTAGCTTGATATTAGCTAGTTTTGCAAGTGGATATTCGGTCATAGAAAATGTAGCCATATATTAATACATGCACACTGTGTTGGGATTGTGCTTGCGCCACAGGAAAAGAAATGATATGAGTTTAAATTGGACATGGTGAGCTCGTTGAGTGCAGGCACAGCTCTGAATCATGTTCATTTTTTTTTGGTCAGTTAAAGTTACCCGTGCCCGTGATGGCAATGGCCGTCGATTCACCGGGTGGTCAACAGGCACGGGCCGTGGCATCGAGCGCTTCAGACCCTGGCAGGACGGCCGTGACAGGAAAATGACTGCATTAGAATATTATTTTCGGTTTCGGTTCAAAATGGGAGTTCTCTTGTATGCGTGAGGAACCCAAGTTGAATGTAGTGTTCTCAAAGTTCTAATAGGTAATCTAGTAAGTAAATGTCGACGAGCAGTGGGGAAAACCAAGAAGCTCGACATTCACAAAGCCTTAGATAAACCTCAGTTGGCCCAACAGTTTATTTGGGCCTACTTGGATTCCCCCTAAATCAGAGAAATATATAGATCACGAAAGTTGAACATGTTGAGGTTTATTGAAACTCCGCCATCACTCATGGGAAGTGCCGATATGAGCACAACATGAGCAGAATTTCAGTGTTTCTGCCCTAGAAATGTTGATGGATCCATGGAATAGGTACTCAGTGAGATAAATGGCATTACATTCGCCATGCTTCGGCCCTCCTAAGCGCAGAAAAATGGCCATGACAGCTGTCGGACTATTAAACCGTGCCGTTGACCTTGGGTCAAACTCTGCGACAGAACGGGAACGGCACCGGTCCAACAGGTTCAACAGGTGCCGTCGATCCGTCGTGACGGTCATGGGCGGCAGCCCTAGGTTAAACATGTTTAACCCCTTGTTTACAGACCCTTAAACAGCAGTTGCCTGCGCACTGTGATTTAGGATTAGATTAAATGGCCATTTAAACAGAAATCCAATTGTTTGCAAAAAACGACGACAGTTACTGGCCTCAGTCTGTGTGTGTATCCGCACGGTTCGGGGACACCAGTATGGCTGTGTTGGCGGAGTGCCAGCGGTCCCATTGCCTGATACGGTAAGCGATGTCAATCAAATGAGCGTGGTGCTCCGGGTTTCCATAGATAACTGAGATTAAACTGCTTGGATATGTCATAGGGGGGCCAACACACCGTATAACATATAGAGTATACGTCAGGTTCCCACTATAGGGTGGTAACCTCAATGGTAACCCCCGCGTAAGCTAGCCGAGGTAACCATGTTAGTATACGCCCAGAGCCCTACGCCAAGCCAGCCCCTAAGCCTAGCCGAGGTCAGCCGGCCAGCCGGCCCATTCGGCAATAACGGCAATAACCCAAAGCAGTAATTGTCGAACAATGGCCGCCGACACACGCGCCTTTTGCGCGTTTCGCGCACTGCGCACCCGTCGCTCTGAGCGGGGTGACGCGCCCATTTGGCTTCACAAAAGACCTCATTTTAATCGGACCCGAGCTCAAATTCTTCATTTTAATTTGATTTTAATCTGCCTTTTCCTTCCCCCCGGCTCTGGCATGAGGTTCTTCTCTCGAGGCCAAATCTATCCTTCTATGGTGCCAGTGCCTTGTTCAAGTTTCGCACTAGCTCTAGCGCAATTTCTATGTGAAGTG